CCGAGACCAAAAAAATCCTGGAGTCTATGTTCAACAATCTGCAGAAGTTCAGAACGGTGTGATGGTGCTTGAGGTATAAAATCTTGCAGGAGATTAGGCGTGACTAGAGATTTATTATTATTATACACACGATTACCTTAAAAAACATTATACAATAAGCCAATGATAATTTTTTGCAATATCAGTGTTAGATGATTAACAACCCTAAACCTTAAAAAGCTTCACATTTTTCCAGAGTTGAAGGTCTAGACGGGGTACTGCTACTGTAAGAGGAGCCTGCAGCCAATACTTGGCATAGTGAACTGTAATGAATGTTGCTATTCTCTTGATAGCCTGTCCCTCATCTTCTGCGGTTAGGTCTGTTAACTGATAAATAGCAATGGCAATCTTGCACAAGTATAAAACCTTAGCCATGAACCGTACTTGATGACAGGCTCCTGGTTTCTCTATCTGAAAGCTGTGCACGGGATTCCTGGTAGGTCTCCATATCTGAATATATAATTGTCACATTTGTTTAATATTATGTATGGCGACATGATATAAAAATAAGGGTTAAATTTCAGAATTGTAAAAAATTGCGATTTAAATAGATCAATCTGTTTAAAACGCAGTTTGAAGTGAACAAACAGACAATCATCTGGACCTAAAAGTTTATAATCACATATTTCATGTTAACTATTAACAATACGATGATCAGAAAGACAGGTCATAAAAATAGAGTGATGTACATACTAGAAAATATAAAACATTGACTTTGACAATGTTACAGGCCATCTGTATATTTACTGTTACATTAACAAACCTTCATCAGCACCTCGAGCAGCTTTATTTTCACGATGAGTATGTTGCTCTGCTATATATTGACGACATGCCAGACTAAAACATAGCTTACCAATGGCTTGCTGAAATAGAATGCAGTCAGTCAACCGCTATATTTGGCAGTTGTATCCCAGCAGGTGGCAACAACCTTATTTGTTATATCCCATGAGTCACAAGCGACTATGAGGGCTTTGGCCTGGGAAGCACCATTTCCATTTCCATCTTTGGCGCTCCACAAAACTGCTTAGTGTGCTGGTCAAGAGGCAACTGGGCAACTATGCACAAATGTTCCTGTATTTTACCAGAGGCAAACTTGATTTGTTTAGCATCCCAATGCAGGACAGCTATACCAGGATCAAAATCTGCTCTTATCTTTGCAGCAGCCTTTTTCTCACCTTTGATTCTTTGGCCCCTTATAGTTGAGAGGATAAGTACAACATCAATTGGATTTCCAGAACTAGCTGATATCATTTGAGAGAATTTTGAAAGTTCAGAATTGAGACTGAACTGCAATCGGGAGGCCAACTTTGATGTGACTTTTCCAAAGGTCTTGGTACCCTAAGGAGAGAAAACCTAAACAACAAGAGTCAATAAATTTAGACCTACCATCCAAGACCCTCGGAGAAATCACATCAAAGTTATACTCATAATAAATTTAATGATTCATAATGATTTGTTCTATTTTTTTTCAACTTTTTAACGCAGTTCCTTAGAAATGTTGTTAGCCTCTCTCTATTGATTGAGAATTTATCAATAAAGGGATAAATTAATGGAACTCTCTATGTTATTATTAAGTATCAAAGGTATTTCAGGTATTATAACAACAAGTTTTTAACTTTTAATTAAATAATTTTTCATTTTATTAAAAATTTTAGAAATTATATCGAGTTAAATTGTTATTATTGGTTTATTTACTAAATATAAGTAAAAAATAAGTATTATCTTTAATATTTCTAGTTATTTTATCTATAATGCAAGTACACACAGCATCATAATATTTTTAATATAATAAAAACACTTTTAAAAAATTTAAAAACAGTGGTTATTAAAAAACGTGAAATAAAGAAGTTTTTGAAAAAAAGTGTTTGTAATCAAAACAAAAGTTATTCTAGCAGTTCTCTACAATCTGGAGAGATTTGCCGACAGGAACAGATATTTATTTTTACCATTATGTATTAGAACAGCTTTCAAGTTAAAAAAGTTTCTAATAATCATAAGATAACACCAGTATTTTTATCAGGCTGTAAAATTAGTCAGAACATCAAACTGTCAAACCAGTCAGAACATCAAACTGTCAAATCAAAGGACAACAACAGGGAAAGAAATAAATCAATGCAAAAAAAAATTTTCTAAGCATGGTTGTTGCAAATCCATCTTGTAAAGATAATTTTTTTTTACAAGTTTAGAAATAATAAACATGAAAGAAATTAATAAATAGTTCTTACCAACTTTTTGTTTGATGACCGTGCAAAATACTATAAATGTTATTCAAATAAATAACTCACAGCAACTTTTTGTTTGATGACAGGGTTGCCATCTGGTGTTTTTTTAAGCTAGATTTCTCAAATCTGGTTTGTTTTTTTATTGTTTGGCTTGGAATTTTTGTTTTGGTTTACTTTAGAAAATCTGGCTTAAATCTGGTTTATTTCATAGTCTTTGGTCTTTTTTAGTTGGTTCTGGTATGTTTTTCAAAATCTGTTTTAATTTTGGTTTATTTAATAATAAATCAATTATAGCTCAAAAATAGCTCACAGCAACTTTTTGTTTGATGACAGGGTTGCCATCTGGTGTTTTTTTAAGCCAGATTTCTCAAATCTGGTTTGTTTTTTTATTGTTTGGCTTGGAATTTTTGTTTTGGTTTATTTTAGAAAATCTGGCTTAAATCTGGTTTATTTCATAGTCTTTGGTCTTTTTTTGTTGGTTCTGGTATGTTTTTCAAAATCTGTTTTAATTTTGGTTTATTTAATAATAAATCAATTTAATCAAGTTTTTATTTCATGAAAAAAAGTTAATTTGAGGGAAAGAAAGATTTCCATTTTTTTCATTTTATAGAAGAACAATCAAGTTTAAGATAAATGGAAGAAATGCTTACGTTAAAATCTTAAAACGTTAAACTTTTACTTGTAATGTAATTAAAATGTTGTTTTTATCCCTTAATTGCCAAAAATGTTAGAAAAATCTTACATTCAAAATGACATTTTTTGAGAAAAATCTGCTTGTATTGAATGTTGTTTTCCAAGTTGAAAAGGCCATTTCAAATCTACAATTATATCTTAAGGATGCAAAAGGTGAAAAAGTTGAATATCATTGCTGAAATCGTCATTAATCATAAATTAGTTAACATTGCATCATTAGAGCGAGTCTAAAAACTTTTAAGAAATGAGTTTCTAAAAACACAGCTGAATTCTAAACTGCTTCGTGAGACCATTTAGATGTTTCCAGAGACCTAGACCTCTGCAATAGAGATGTTTACTGCCTTGGCTGTCTATGTGTTCCGTTTGTAACTATTTTGTTGAGTCTTTTCACAGGTCATCTGCATAATAATCAGACTAAGAAAATATCAAATAAAGTCTTGCATGGAGTCATTTGGGTCAAATCATATTTAATAAGACAAAAGATTTTTTACCAGGACTTTGAAATAATTGAGTCAATTATTGCAAATGTTGGAAATGAAATCTATATTCATATGCAAGCAAAAAAAATATATATATATTTTACAGGTTGATAGTGTTGGATTTAGTATAGGTGTTTGGGAGTGTACTAATTTACCCACGCCACTTTGAAGGCTGGACTTGCACCCAATTAAACGTTCACTAAGTCATTCTTCTCCTCCTCCCTCACTTTCTTACAAATTAAATTTTAGTATTCAAGGATGAATTTTTGGATAAAAAGCTATTACGGCAGTCAATGATGAAGCACAGACAGATAAAAATAAAATTATAAACAAGGCTTTAAAACAAAAAATTATGATTTTTTTCTTTTTTTTTTTATGGTCTGGTTTATTTCTGGTTTATTTTTGTTTCATTTTTGGCTTTTGCCCGAAAAAAAACCTTACAACCCTGTTTGATGGCCGTGCAGAATAATATAAACCTTATTCAAAATAAATAGCTCAAAGCAATTTTAATGCAATAAATGTTTGTCATAAATTTGGTGTGCAGTCTATCCAATCATGATTTTATAAGTTGCAAGATCCCGACTTATTATGACTTCTAGGCCTATATCTACTACCGTTGTTGTCAGGTCTCGTTTTGCGCCCGATAGTGGATCCAGCAGAGTGTATGTCGCTGATTTGTTTACTCGTCCAATATGCATCACTTTTAATTTCCCAGTATTTAGTTGCATATGCCAGATTAGTGCTATTAGTCCGCAAACATTTTGAAACAAGAATTAATGCCGTCTGGGAGGTCTTCTATAAAGATAGTAAAAAAGTTCGTCCTAGCACAGACCCTTGGATAACACCACTAGACACTAGTGCCCATCCTGACGATATGTCGCCTAAAACAACTCGCTGTCGTCGATTTGTTAAAAATGAGCTAGTTATTGACCTGTTATTGCCATATTTGTTTTTCAATAATACTATACTAATATAATTGCCATATTTGTTTTTCAATTGTTATTGCCATATTTGTTTTTCAATAATACTATATTAATATAATTCGTCTAGTTTTTTTCCTCGAACATCAGTTCTTTGGAATTCGCTTCCTTCATCTTGCTTTCCTGATTCATATAATTTGCAATCTTTTAAGTCGTCTGTCAATCGTTACCTTGCTCTACAATCTTCATCTTTTCTCTTCCAGTAACTTCCAACACCAACTAGTGGATGCTTGCAGCTTTGTTGGAAGCGAAGATAATTAAAAATATATATATATATATCCCTCTCTGAAAAAAAATTGAATATCTCTCAACGTATATTCATTTTTTTATATTTTTGACAGCCGAATAAAAAAAAATGAAAATCTATTTTAATATTCAGATACTTTTATCATTTAAATGAAATCTTGATTATTTTTTTTAATATTTAAATTATTAAAAAGTTTTAAGCGAGGCCTTATACTTTGTTGTTGTAAAATTAATAGTAAAATATTTTTATAGTAAATTGTTGTTAAATATTGTCAAAGGTATTAAAAAATAAATTAGCAATTAAATAAATGTAAAATATTTTAGTGTAAAATCAAACTTACCGTATAATAATAAAAGTATAAATGTCTTCCATGCCATTTCCTTTAACTTTCTTTTTTAATTTTCTTTTAACTGTGTCTAATTTTAAAATCAAAAAAATTTCAACAGTATAATATAGATTTTACCTTAAAAAGTAATTTTCATCAAAATAGCTTTTAAATTCTCTCTTATTTTTTTTTAATTTGAATAAAGGGTGAAAAAACATAAAATAAAATGTTTTAAAGACATAATAAAAATTCTTTCTTAAGTTTCAAAAATAGCAAAATGATGTTATATATTTAGCATTATTAAACATAATTTACCATTATTTAGTTTGTTGTAGGAATAGTTTAAGAGAAAGCATTATCTCAAATTCTTCCTACAGAAACCTTATCTCAAATCCTAACAAAAAAAAAACCCTTTTCTCGAAATCTCCCTTTTGAAATATGAAAACGATTATGAAAAAAATACATATAAAATCATAAACGTTTTTGTATAACTTTTTTAAAAAAAGGTCCTCAATTTTTGCAATTTGCCAACTATAGTTTAAAACTTGCTCAATGTGCCAACTGAAATGCTTGTATGACAGCTTGGGGGGTGGGAGGTAGGACACAAAACAAAATCTTACCATTCTAACAAGAAAAACATGTGCGGTGTGAACAAGAAAAAAAAAGCAAATGAATGTCCATTACTTAGGTGTTTGAGATTTTTAAAATAACTATTTTCGAGAATCTTACCTTGGTGCCTCATAATTAAACAATGAATGCTTTGTTTGATATTTATGATCTATAATGAAGAAAAGATCTTCAAAAATATTAGGTAGCATATGATATTTTAATCTAAACATGAATAAAAAAATATTATAAACATTTAATTGGTAAACATTCAGCACTCCAAGCTTACGAAGTAGTGGATTGGCACTGGTGTATTTATTAGCATTTAATATAAGACAGCTTGCTTGTTTTTGCTTTTTTAAGATATAAGTTAGTCTTGACGGATAAGTGCTTGCCCAAGCAATGTTACAATAACCAATAATGAAAAGTAAATAGATTTTAAACAGTTTTTATCCAATATATATCTAGTTTTATACATAATTCCAATAGTTTTTGAAATTTTATTTTCTATTAAATTAATATGCTCTTTCCAATTTATTTGCTTATCGATTAAAACGTCTAAGAATTTAACACAGTACGTCCGTTGCAATTTGGTTTTTTCTATTAAAATATCCGGGAATTTTTAAAGGCAACGTGTCAGATTTAGATGATTTAGAAAAGAGAGTATATTTGCTTTTAGTAGGATTCAGAGAGAGTTTGTTGGCTTTAAACCATTCATTAAGGTTATCAAGTTCACTATTCATAGTGGTAAAGATGGTCTTAATGTTAGAGTGAGTATAAAGAACTTGAGTGTCGTCCGCAAAAAGATTAAAGTTTAGTATACTAGATGATAATTGAATTAGGGCTATAGATATATATTTATGCATTTTTGTATACTATGTATTTTTAAGTGTAAATATATATCGTGTGGTTTTTTATAAAATCTGCTCTTTAAAAGCTATATCAATTTGTTTAAAAAATTAGTACTAAAACTAGAAATAATCAGCTGGATAGACTAAATGACGGTTTCCTTAACTATCAATATTATTACTTCTAAAGATAAATTTCAATAGGATCTCAAATTCCAGTTTACAACTATATATCTAAATTACAGATAAATAGTAATTTTAAGCAAAACAGACATAAAAATCACTGTTTTTTAATGAAATACGTCTGTATTTTCGACATCAGTCATCAGAAGCTATATGTTGTAAACTGGAACTTTTTTATTCCATAAACTTCACTTTGAAAAAATAAAAGTTTGGGGGGGGGGGGGGTGATATTTCAAAAACGTACGTACTTTTTAAGGGGGTAAAGGACTTAAAAGTACGCATGGCAACAGGGGGAGGGAGGGGGTCAAAATTCAAAATTTTTGGCTTACGTACTTTATGGACGACCCCTAAGTTCCTTTTTTTGACTATAAGAATATGTTGCTAACGTAAACTTTTAACAATTAAAAATACTTTTATCACCCTAAGCATTTTACTTTTAAGTCAAAAATTTAATGTTGACCCATTAGTAAAATTTAATTTAAATGTGAGTTACTTGGTTGATAAAGATTTTTAATGTAAAGTAAATTGATAAGAAATAGCGCATTTATTTTTTATAGAAGAATTTAAAGAATTAAATTACCTTTCATTAGTTTAAAATATATCAAATTTTCAAACTTTAATTTTGTTGCAGTTTGTTACTTTCAATCAGTTTTTTCCATAAACTATCAATAAACAACAATGAGCTAATAAATTACCAAAGTATGTGAATTTAAAACTTATTCAAAACGCAAATACTTAAAAGTGAAATGACTCATGTAAAACTTTTAAATCTTATCTAACTTAATTAGTCATATAAATATTCTATAATACATTCTTAATAATAGACTTTACAGTCTATTATTAAAGATGTATTATATTTTATTAGGAATGGTACATCTATTTATTTTATAAGGAATTATAGATTCATTTATTTTATAAGGAATGGTACATCTATATACCAAAGAAAAATGCATTTTTGTTTTAAAAATCTTACTTTTGTTTCAAAAAATCTTTCATGTTTTTATCCGAGTGAAAATAAAATCTAAAATTTAGGAAAAAAAAAAGATTTTTACCTTTTTTCAAAACTTTAAAGTTTTAAGAATGTAAAGAAAGATGTTAATAATGTTTAGAGAATTTAGGGAAGGCTGTAAGCTTTTCTAAAATTACTATCAATTTTAGATTACGGCAACTTAAAATTTGTTCAATTTTGCTCATAAAGAAGACAGCAAGGGGCATAAGAGCTGCAAATGTATTCGTTAGTATTTGAATCTTTCAAGATAAGGCAACATAAATGATTTAAAAATCCACATAATGTCATAATTAAACTACAATTAATTAGACTATACCAGATAAATAGGGTGGTCCTTAAGAATAGGGGCATAGGGGTGTATATCCCCCCAATCAAACTTTACTAAAAATTAGTCATCAATTTCTGATGTAACTGTTAAACTTGTCAAATCATTTTACAATGATGAACATAACCTTATAATGGCTGGTAATAAATATGTGATTGCATAACGACAAATGTTCACATGCATAAATGTGTGATTTTATGTAAAATAAAAGATATGTTTATTACTCAAACTAGTATCCATACTTCTAATACCACAAAATAAAAAGGAGATTTTTAAAATTTTGCAACTAAAATGCTCTCAGTGGAGTGAAATTCCATTTATCAGACTGCTTTTACATAATCTTGGTATTGCATAAAAGAACTTTTTCTTTATTTTGTTTGTCACATGAATTATAAATATATTTCTTTCTATTTTTTTAGGCTAGAATTTTAAAGATTTTATGGTACGGAAATGTGCAAGTTGTTTTGCATAAATGCATTAGTTGATGACAATTGTATGATATAATTGAGGAATTTAAAGATAATAATGTGTTTAAATTTGATAAAAATATAACAACAGATCAAACTTAATACATAACAAAGAGTTTAATGCATAGAACGAGCATGGAAAAAACTAACGATACTTACACCACACTTATAAATGTCATACAGCATACCTGAAATCAAATTAAAATGTACATTAAATCTTGTAGTTATTTTTTTTAAAAAGATGAGATTCTTAAGCTCAAATTTTATTGTATTGTTTCGAATGATTTGACGAAAGATGTGAACATAGTGTATAAATGATATTAAAACGAATCTACCGTAGATAAAAATGTTTAATACTTCTTAAAAAAAATTTGCAAATCAATATGAAAACTAAAAAATAATAGTCGTTGTTTCCATTACGTCATTTTGCTAAATGGAAATGTTTTACAAATCACGTGGGCAAAACGCAGTTGTTATAGTTAAGCAATTAGCAGCGCAAACAAGTTCAAATGTATTTATGCTTGTAAAGATAAAGCATGGTAATTATGATTTATCTTTATAAGCAATATACAAATAAAAAAATCAAAATAATAAAAAATAATTTCATCTACATCTCATCAGGAAATTTAACTTTGATGAAAAACATTCTTAAGAAATGATTTAATACTCAAAATACCATACCTGGAACATAAAAATTTGATCTGTTTGTTTAAACACTAAATGAAAAACATGAAAAGATAATAATACTTGTTTATACTACCTTTAACCAGTAGTTGTTCGTATCCTAACCATTTTTGTATCCTAAATGTTTATTCTCTTAAATATCAGATTTTATTATTTACAAGACTTTAAACCTAATAATCTCTTTTGGTAGTCTTGACTTTTCGAAACCTGCTGCATTTTTTACTCTACATTGATTAGGGAGTATCAAAAGTTGTCTTCGTGCTTAAGGTTTTGATATATGATGACTTTTTTTTTTATCTGTTCTTTTTATTTGTCAGTTAACAACTTTAGGTTTATTTTATACATTACAAAAGTTTGATGAGGATCAGCTTCTTACAAGTTGTGCGATTCATTTTGTTTTTATTTTTTGGCAATAGTTATGTTGCCATCTTGAGAAAACAATCTTTAACTGTTGAATGAAACAGGTGGAATGCTGGTAAGGTATTTTCTTGCAAATTCAGTTAGTAGTGACAAATGGTCTTTGTTTTTACCAACCAAATAGACTCATTTTGTGCTTCCCAAGACAATTAGGCAAACCATTGTAGGTATTTATATCTTTATCAAGGGCTGGCTTTTGCTGGCTTAAAAAAATAAAAATAAAATTATTGAATAAAAAAATATTTTTGTATTCTATTTTCAAAATTTTCAATGCATTTTCTACTTAAAGGATTATTAATTTTTGGAAAAATATTAGATACCTAAAGTTCTGTTCTCATTCTGCCCAAAGGTCTCAACTGCTTCCACCTCCAGAAAGTAAGCCACTAGCTTTTTCTCGTTTAGATTCAAGTTTTGATATTTTTCTTCCAAAGCAACTGCATTGCTTGGGTTTCCTTTATTTTACCTATATTTTGATATGTAAAACGCAAAAATTACGTAAATTAATTCTAAAATCATATAGCACACAAGTGTGACTGGTCGTGGCCGTGTTGTTCGAACGCTTGCTTTAGAAGCAAGATATCCAGTTTTCGAAGCGAGCTCTGGGCTTATTTTGCCCAAAACTTCCTTTTTGGAGGACTTATGAAGGATAAGGATCATTTTTTTAAATGTTTTTTTGAATTTTTTATTGTCGATTTATTCATATATTTAAGATAAGTTATTGTTATTCTGCAACGGTTTTAACATTTCAGAAAAATTATTTCAATTAGTAATTTTTAACTATTAAATACCAAAGTTAATAAATCAAAAATTTAAGCTTTACAAGTCTAGTCTTAAAACATAACATAAGCAACTTTAAACATAACATTCTTTCTTTAAAAATCTGCTAATTGACAAAACTTTAACAAGAATTATGGATTAAACTTTTAGGTGCAATTCAAAACAAACGTATAAGCTGTAATAATCATATCAAAACAATAAAATATAAGTATTAGCATTATGTATAATGCATCTATTAAATACAACCTGCTCAGAAATGATTTCATTTATACGTTTTCATTTTTTTAAATAAAAATTATATTAAAATAGTTAAATGTCGTTTGCAAAAAACAAAAACAAGTAAATCGAAATAAAATGCAAAAAAGCATACTAGTGCCAAGAAAGAATTTAAAAAACACCTGCTACAACGTTTGATTGCCTGATGTTTATGAAATAAATGTTTAATTTTTTTTTGCTTTTTTTGTTTGTTTTTTTGCTATATAGCAAAAAAACAAACAAAAAAAGCAAAAAAAATTATAATTTATAATATAATTTTTTTTTTTATCTTTACTATTATTATTATTTCTCAAACGCTATTTAGGTAAATTAACAGTGACATATTATACCATATGGTATGATATGTCACTGTTACCATATGGTATGATATGTCACTGTTAATTTACCTAAATAGCTTTGAGATATAATAATAAAAGTAAAGATAAAAAAAAAAATTGTATACGCGTTTCTCTATTTCCGGTGTATTTATGAACTCTCAAACTCTCGGATGTATTTTTTATTAATTTTGAAATGTAAAAATAAATGCTAAATTTTTATTGATTGTGAAATGTAGAAACTAAATCAACTTTGGATGGGTGGACGTCATTAGATGGCTGTATGACATTGGATGGCTGGATGAGATTGGGTGGCTGGATGACAGCTGCAGTTACAAAAATTTTGCTTTCTGTTTTTAAAGAATCCGTTTCAAAATTCTTATTAAAATAACAAAATAGATAAATATCAGGGCCAACAACACCGCGGGGGCTCAGGGGCACTTCCTCCCCACCCTATTTTCTTTTCCTGAATATTATTTAATGATAAACTAAATTACCAAAAAATTATTACATATAGGGGAAAAGTTCCATAATTGGAGCAGCGCCTTAATTGGAACACTTTCATTTATTTTTGAAAAAAAAGAAAATAGTTATGGCTTTACTTTGCAGTTTTCTATTAAAACGTCTTATTTTTTACGTTTTGACACATTTTGAAAGTTACTGCTCAAAAAATACATAAGCACCATTAATTTAAAGGTTTTGTGCGTCGTTTTTTTCGGTGATCTAATTTTGTGTTTAATACTATATTGATTGCATTAGAAATGTATATACACATATATATATATATATATATATATATATATATATATATATATATATATATATATATATATATATATATATATATATATGTATATACATATATGTATATATGTATATACATATATGTATATATGTATATACATATATATATATATATATATATATATATATATATATATATATATGTATATATATGTATATACATATATACATATATGTATATACATACATGTGTGTGTATATATATATATATATATATATATATATATATATATATATATATATATATATATATATATATATATATATACAAATATATATATATATATATATATATATATATATATATATATATATATATATATATATATATATATATATATATATATATATATATATATATATATATATATATATATATATATATATATTGAGTATGAAAAGGTTGATATGACAATAATGCCGTTTGACTTTCGATATAAAAAAATTTAAATTGCTAGAAGATATAACCTAACGTGTTGATTTAATAATTTGAGCAAAATGTTTTATTAAAAAAACACCACAGATGCAACAAGTTTATTATCGCAGGATGCCATTCATTTTTTCCATCAATTCCATCAAACCGGTAGTCAAATAATGTGAGTAATAGAAATGTACTAAGATATAAAAATAATACTTTTAGTATTAATTATGTTAACTAAA